GGACTTTAAAATGCCAATCTTTGGCAAGATATTAGAACTAATTTAATAATAATTCTGAGCATTTGTGAACTACAAACTGTATTATAAAACTGAGTGTGCAAAGATGTAGAAAACATGTTACGCTAGCCAGAAGGAAATAGAGACTAGTGGAGGAGACAAATACTTAAAAGCCCAACATGATAAAAGCTTTAAAAGAGTTAAAAACATATGAAATAAAATCTGAACACTCATCCCTAAGTAATTAAAATTTACAGGATCCAATTTATATTACACATAACTACTATTTCCAATGTTTTCCTGTAATTTTTGGCCAAGTACTGAATTGGGCAGGTATGAAAAATGCTGTGATTACTATAGCTAAGAATTAATAATGCCTCATAAAATAAATCACTGTTAAGTAATAGTTATCAAGCAACTTAGACATAATTATTTCTATTTATAAGTGGAGGAATTACAGAAGAATAAAAAACACTAGCTTGATTCAGTATTATTCAATATTTATTATATACCATACAGCATACATATACACTAATGGGGCCTACAAACAGAACATTCTTAACTTTCACAGTGCTTATATGCTCTCTTATAGTACCTAGACAATTGTTCAACCTCAGTTTTCTAACCTAAAATTAATCTAAATTTCAATTTGTAGACAGAATTTTTTTAAAATCACATTAATTTTGCAATGCCGTATGTATTAAAGTCTTGAAAATGTTTATTATTTTCACCTAGCAGTTCTATTGCTGGCAAGCTAGTATATGGAAAAAAGGATTCTGCACAAGGATGTTAACTGAAACATTATAAATGTTGAAACTCTGAAAGCAACCTAAATGTGCAGCAATCAGGAAATTACTAAATTAACTATGGCACAAACACTGCATAAAATATAGCACTAACATTAAATTATGATTATGAAGGCTGAGTAAAACAGGGAAAAAGTATATCATATGCTGAGTGGAAAAAAAGCTAGATATTCACAGTTTAATTGCAATAATGTTTTTAAAAATTAAATAGAAATATAGGAAAGTAAATATACAATTTATAATTTGGGAATAAGTTAACAAGGATATAGGTGGGCAATGGGATCATGAATGCCCTTTTCTCTGGAAAATGTAAAAAATGAGACAAAAGTAATAAACTTGCATTACTTTTATGACAGCAAAATAAAGGCTATCACTTATAGTTTGGCAATGGACAAACTAAAACAAAGTAGAAATAGTTTCTTTTTTTAAAATAACATAACATTGCCACCTGATTCTATCAACTACTATCTAGACATAAAATGGGAACAATAACTATTTTGTTCATCTCTGAAGGGCACAAAATATGCATAGCAAAAAACCTTCAAGAGGTCCCATGGCCCATGAAATAATGGACCGATCTTAGGCTACTTATCTACCTTAGAGAATCTGTATCTTAACATCTCTACCAGTGCTTTACATATAAATACTCATTTTTTTAAATTATTGTTTTTTTTTTTTTTTTTTTGAGACAGAGTCTCGCTTTGTTTTCCAGGCTAGAGTGAGTGCCGTGGCGTCAGCCTAGCTCACAGCAACCTCAAACTCCTGGGCTCAAGCGATCCTCCTGCCTCAGCCTCCTGAGTAGCTGGGACTACAGGCATGCGCCACCATGCCCGGCTAATTTTTTTATATATATATCAGTTGGCCAATTAATTTCTTTCTATTTATAGTAGAGACGGGGTCTCGCTCTTGCTCAGGCTGGTTTTGAACTCCTGACCTTGAGCGATCCGCCCGCCTCGGCCTCCCAAGAGCTAGGATTACAGGCGTGAGCCACAGCGCCCGGCCTTAAATTATTGTTTTAATTAAATAATACTTTGCTTTTTGGAAAATCAGAAAATACATAAGCAACATTTTTGAAATTAAAAATCACTTGGTCACTCAGAAATTACCCTGTAAACATTTTAGAGTTCTCTCTCTCCCACCCCAATATGTTTTCATTCAGTCTCACGGCTTTAAGTGCTATCTACACGCTGGTGACTTTCAACTTTCTATCTCTAGATGAGACCTCTCACTAATTCTAGACATAAATCCAACTGCCTGCTTGCATCTTCACTGTGATGTCTAATAGACATCTCAAACTTAGCATGCCCCAAACTAAACTTATCTTCACCACCAAATCTGCCCTTTCTGTGATATGACTCTGCTCATTTGTACTAGTTATCTATTAATTTATAGCTGTTGTTAGAAGGCCTTAGTTTCATGCAACATGGACCTTTCCTTAGGGCTAATTGTGTCTCCTCACAACATGGCAGCTGGCTTCCCTCCAAGTGAGTGATCCAAAAAGAGAAAGCAAAGAGGAAGGCATAATGCCTTTTATGACCTAGTGCTGAACTCATACATCATTACTTCTACCATAATCTATTCATTGGAAGCAAGTTACTAAATCCAGCCCACAGTCAAAGGGAAGGAAATTAAGTTTCTTCTCTTGAAGAAAGAAACATCAGAGAACTTGCAGGCAATTATTATAAAACTACCCTAACATCCCAGTTGATAGTATTAATAATTTCATTCTTCTAGATACTCAGGTCCCTGGAGTAATCCTTGTTTCCTCTATTGCACTCTCAAGTCTCATATAATTTGCCAGGAAATCATGCTGGTTCTACTTTCAAAATAGACCTAGAGAGAAACCTTTTCTATCTACTTTCAATGCTATTACCATGCTGCTCCAAAGGACATGTCTCTGTCCTGAATTACTGAAATACCTTCCTGCTTCTACTTTTGCCCCATTACAGTATATTCTTTACACAGCAGCCAGCATAAGCCTTTTAAAACTTAAGGCAGATCATGTCACTCCTCTGTTCAAACCCTGCATTGGTTCCCTATTCTTTCAGAGTAAAAGTCAGTCTTTACATGACCTACAAGACCCTGTCTGGCCTCATTACTGACTCTAACACGCTGCTGAAACTACCACAGCCTCCTTGCCATTTACATTTTTACTTTAGCTGTTCTTTCTGCCTAGAATAATCTTTCCTCAGACATCCACTTGGCTAATTCCCTCACCTGCTCCAAGTCTTCACTCAAATCATACCTTTTTGATAAGGCCCATCCTGACCACTTTATAAAATAGTATAAACTCTCCAGCCCTCACTCTCCTTCCGGATTTTCCTTACCCTGCTCTTTTCCATAGAACTTTTCACCTAACTAACATACTATATAGTTAACTGGTTATTGTCTTTACTGTTTATTCTCTGCTTTCCCTTATTAAATGCAAGTTCCATGAAAGCAGGAATCTTAATCTGTTTTGTACACGATGTACCTCAAGTAACTAGGAAAAAAGCTCAATGAGTATGTGTTAAATTAATGAATTAAAAAAAACTAATAATTTGAAATCTTTTTTCAGTGAATAAAAATGTATATAGGAAACATCTTTCTATATCACTTTTAACAGATAGGTAGTGTATGACTATATACTACCATACTATTAATATATACCACCAAATTATATGGCCATACCACCATTTATCTAACCAATTTCCTTTACTTGTACATTTAGATAGTTGCCAGCTTTTCTCTATCATAAATACCACAATGAAAATCTCTTTATGTAAATATTTGTTACATTACTTATTTTCTTGGGAAATATCACAGAATTGCTGGATCAAAGGATATGTACATTTTTAAGGATAAATACATTATCCTGCTCCTATCAGCAATGCACAAGAATAACCCATTCCCCTCCTCTGCACCCCCCATCTTCATGAAGACAGGTTATTAATTAATTTAAAACAGATAAACCTGGGTTCTTATCTGGATTCTGCCATTAATAACCTAAAAATTGCTATATTTATAAAGTGGAGATAATAATACCACCTACCTCACCAAATTGTCGTGAGGATTAAAGGAGACACTGCATATATAAAGCATTTTGCACAGTACTTGCACATAGTAAACACATGATAAAATATTAAGCCTACTGTTTCTACCATTACTGACTTGAAAGCAGTCGATTGCAAAGTGCCCTGCGCATTATTACCGGAACACCAACCAATTAGTTATTTATAATAAAGTATTTTTTTTAAAGCTCAACCTCTTTCTTGAAGATTATATTTGATCATTCAGCACTGAATTAAAAACATTCCTAAGTACAGTGTATAAAACTGTACCATTTTACCACCCTGATCCTTCCTTCTGTTGTCTTTTGAACAGCGGGGAAACTAAAACAAACATTCCCTGCTGCTAAGATGATCATGACCCTACCAGAGGAAAGCAGGAAAACAAACTTTGCCAAGTGAGCTAGCTACAGGTATCTCCTGCTCATTCTCGTCGCACCTCCCCGTGCTTGCGTCACTCCTGGGGCAGCAAGGGGGTAAAATAAGGATTCATCTGGAGACTCCAAACGGGGCTGCCGCGTTTGAAGAGCAGAACAAGGACAACTTCCTTAAAGCATCACTGGAAAAAGAGTCTCGGCGCCGCAGGCTCTGGCTCGTCTCTGACGTGTACAGACAGCGCCCCTCCCCCAACACACAAACACAAACACACACACACAAACACACACACAAACACACACATAAACACACACACACACTGACGCCCTTCGCAGGCCTCGGCTTTTCCTCCGACCAAGCTGTCTGGCCAGACAACCGGTTCCCACGCGGGTGCGGACCCGGGGTCAGTCAGCAACCAGGCCTCAGCTCATCCCAAATGTCCCAGGACGGTTTGCTCTGCGGGGTTTCAAATTCAAACGCGTACCAAACTCACAACCCCAAGAGCCTCCACACACACACACACACACACACGCGCGCGCGCGCGCGCGCGCGGGTCGCCCACCCCGGGCCCCAGCCCTTCCCCGTCCGGCGAGCAGCAGCTGGAACCCGGACGCGGGCCGGCCTCGGGGGCCCCGTAGGGTCCGGGCGGCCCAGGCGCCCCACATCCGCCTGCGGCCGCGGTCGGGTCGGGCCGAGCCGGGCGCGGGAGGCCCGGGCGTACCCCGCCGCCGCGCACGTCCGCGCCCACGCAGGCCCCGCCGCGCGCAACACCGACCTAGCTCCTCGCACCCCGCCGCCTCGGCCGCCGCCGGCGCCGCTTCCATCTCTCCGGGGTCTCCAGGACGCCGCCGCCCCGGTGCTCGCTCTCCCGCCGCTGCGTGGCCGGCGTCAGGCCGAGGCCTCCCTTGCCCGGCGGGACTCGCGCCGGGTGCCCGCCTCCCGGCCCCGGCGCGCCCCACCGCGACGAGGAGCATGCGCAGTGGGCGGCCCGGGCGGTGGGCGCAGCCTGTGGGGCGGAGGACCCGGACTGGAGCGACGCGGGGCCGGGGCCTGGAGAGGAGCTGGGTGACCCGGGAGGAGGGACGTTTGGGAGATACCTGGGGCTAGCGGCAAAGAGCTGGCAGAGACCCAGGCATATAGTTCCTGGCGGTCTTTAAAGTTGACCGAGAACTTAAATTGGGGGCTTCCGTCTTCTTGCAAGGCTTTTTAGCATTCTGTAAGTCACCTTGGAGAATGCAACGTAGGACGGGATTTGTCCCCTGTCCGCGTTGGGGGTTCTGAATCTTCTTTGGTTATTGATCTCCCTGTTCCCCTGTTTAAAGATATAGGATACATCACTCAAGTAAAATTTAATTTAGTCACACAGAGTTTCACTTTGGTATTTCAATGCCCTTCAAGATATTTGACGTTTAACCGCGGTACTGAAAGGAAATTAAGGTGAAGAGTAATTATGCTGAGGTATTGTCAAATAGTCTTAAGCATCACGCATCTTTAATTCTGATGACAACCTGTGAGATACTCTGTCTGTATCCATTTTAAAGATGAAGAACTAAGCCACACAAAGGTAAGTAACTTGTCCGAGGACAGTTAAGCTAGTAAATGGCAGAGATGGAATTCTGTCTGCCACAAAAGCTGGCCTCTCAGGTGGGTACCAATAAATTTTTGATGAATCAACGGAAGCAAGCTTTGGTTTGAAAGAAGAAAATTATTTTAATTTTGAACTTGCTTTCATTTTCTTCATTTCATAGTTCTTTAAAGTAGGGACACCAGACATTTTTTTTTAATTTTTATCTGTTTCACTTCAGTGGAGTCATTTTAGGAGAGTTGGGCTTTTTGTTGCGGGTTAGGGGGTATTCTGATTTACAGAGCCACTGATGTAACTACATGGCGATGGTGTTAAATTCTTAAAATTCTGAGATTAAAAAGGTACACGATTACATAATATCTATGTCTTTCCTCCAGTTTCAGCCTTTGTAGGTTTTTACTAGATAATTATTGATAGTGTTGATGTCCCCAAACCCTTTTTTTTCCATTAAATCAACCTCAGTCACTCACAGGCATACACATGCAAATCACAAAGGGAGGTTTTATTTGAAGTGTACCTGACAAATAACAAAAATGTAGGGGAGATTAAAAAAAAGAGCGAGGAGGAGACAGATACCTATCCTGGAATATAACTAGAACAATGGTCCCTAACCTGTGTTGATGTGGGTCATCTAGTTACAGATCAGCAGGTGAGAAGGTAGGAATCAGACAGAAGTCATAGCACTCAGGTAATTGTCCATAAGCCACTCAAGGTAATGAGAACACTTGGGACAGTGTCTTGGAAGAGGAACATTATCTTTTGAGTATTAAAAGGGATCAAAAGTCTTTGTCCCCTAATCTCAGCTTCAGAGAAAGGAGCTCTGGCAATATAAAAAAAAAGGGGGGGGGAGGGGGCCTATACTTGTGGGATAGGCCTAGGGTTTTTTGGAGAGGCTTGGGCTGAGTCAGGCAGCCAGGCTCAGTGTCTTTACAGAGTGATATGGAGATGAATCAAGTGATAGGGGATGATCGTAAGATTCAAGAGAATTGTTTTTCATGCATCACTACTTGAGAACATATTTGCCATAACTTCTGCTCCAGGTCTTATAAATTAGAAGTAGGCACAAGGTAAAGCTGTATCAGAATAGAGATATTGTAAAGGATCTGACAATTTGGATCCTGACAATTTATTTCTTCCTTTTCCTGATTTTAATCTTCCGGGATCATATCTTAATTATTAATATTTCCTTCTTTGCAACTGCACCACTTTGTTCATCTCTCTGCTATAAGACTTCTCCCCTTGTATTATACTTATTCCCCCATCTGGGCCTTGTGCTACACTATGATCCCCTAATGGAAAGAAAGGCTGTATCTTATCTGTCTTTGTCTCAGTAAGGCATATCCCAGTGCCCTGCGCTTACTAGTCATTCAATAAATAGTTGTTGAAAGTTATTGAGCACAGCCTCATAGATAGATGAAAGAAAACATTTAGAAGGTCTTTAATTTATTCAAAGACATTTATGGATCACCTTCCCTGTGTTAGGCACTGTGCTGGGTACAGGGACTATAATGGCAAACAATATTGATATGCTCCCAATTGCCATAGAGTTCATAGTCCAGTACAGGAGCATGTGAGAGAAAAGAATGAAAATTACTAAATATATAATTACATTTGCTGGTGAAGAAAATCACAGGGCACTGCCAGGGAACCTACTTTAGGTTGGGTAGGCAGGACAATCTTTTCTGAAGACATTTAAGCTGACATGTTAAGGTGAGAAGGAGTGGAGTTGGCCAGGTGTATTTAGGGAGCAGAGCATCTTGGGCAATGAGAATAGCCTTTCCCAAGAGAAAAGCCTTTCCCAGCCTTTATAGATGGAGAAATGGTTCTGCATCTGTATAACATTTAGATAGAGTTGTCTATATACAGTAGTTGGATCTCTAAAGTTTCCTCATATGCAAAATAATATTACCATCCTTATAGGTTGTTGTGCAAATTTAATGAGATAAAGTATATACAGCATTAGGACATTGCCTAATTCATAGAAAGCATTAAATAAACTGAGCATCCTAATGCCTCTGAGACTCTGTCTCCTTCTCTAGTGATTGCTTTTCTCTTTTGATGCAGAATTCTTCTGCTTCTTAAGTTCACCTGGCAGGAACATGTTTCCTAAAAGCTCTCAATTTCTATCTCTTATACTTTAGGTGTCCAGAAACGTACTGGTCTCTTTTTCTCAGTTCTAATTATAAAATTTCCCAGGGAAGAACTGGATTGAATCACTTTGGATGAGATCCCTAACCCTGGAGACTAGTCAAGTGAGTGGTGGACAAAGTCATATATTGGGATAGTTCCTGATGGAACAGTGTAGATGACAGTGTGAAGGAAACAGTTCTCAAAAGGAGAGGCTGAGTTGACCAAATCCTAGGTGTTCACTCTACTTTGATTTCCCTCTCTGTAAAATATTATTCATTCTGTATGCTAAGGCTGTGTTGCTCACTTGTTTCTATTTCAATGGAATAGAAATATTTTCTATTTCTTGTTTCTTCTCACTATCTTATCATTAACATCTGCCTCAATGACTTCTCTAGTCTATTAATAAAGCTAGGAAACATGCTGACCAGCACTATTCCTCATAAGAGGTTCTTTGTTAGGGTAATTGTTACTGACAGCCTTACTTTTACTACTAATAATTTTGTTTTATTTAACTCTTTTTGTTTGTTTTTTTTTTTGGCATATTATGGGGGTACAAATTTTAAGGTTTCAATAAATGCCCTTCCTCCCTCCCCCCACAAGTCTGAGTTTCCAGCATGACCATCCCCCAGATGGTGCACATCTCACTCATTATGTATGTATATACCCGCCCCCCTCCCCCCTCCCACCTGCCCAATACCCTATTACTGTAGTACCTATGTGTCCATTTAGGTGCTGCTCAGTTAATACCAGTTTGCTGGTGAGTATATGTGGTGCTTGTTTTTCCATTCTTGGGATACTTCACTTAGTAGTATGGGATCGAGCTCTAACCAGGAAAATATAAGATGTGCTATATCACCATTGTTTCTTAGAGCTGAATAGTACTCCATGGTATACATATACCACATTTTATTAATCCATTCTTGGATTGATGGGCACTTGGGCTGTTTCCACAGCCTTGCGATTTTGAATTGTGCTGCTATAAACATTTGAGTGCAGGTGTCTTTTTTGTAGATTATTTAACTCTTTATGACTGATTTAACAGATTGAAAAAAAACCTGAAAACCAAGGGCCTGGAGGAAAGAAAAATGATGCAGATAGCAGAAGTTTAACCTTTAAAAAAAGCCTATATAATATTCTCAAAAAGATTTTTAGAAATACTTCATCTGTTAAAACAGATAATTCATCTGTTAAAAAAAAAAAGAATAGACTGTCATAAAAAAAAAAGAAATAATCAGGGAACAGAAAATAGAACAAAAAGACCAGAAAATAGAACAAAAAGACCAAAAAAAGGACAATAGAAAAATAAGAATATTAAAGGATCCATCCAGAAGTTCCAATATCTTCACTCAGAAAGATAAGAGATAAAAGAGAGAAGGGGAAAAAATCAAAGTAATAATAAAAAAATTTCTCAAAATTGAAGGGCATTTGCTTCCAGATTTGAAGAATCCCCTGAATGCCCAATATAACAAATGAAAATATACCTTAACCAAGATACAGTATTGTAAAAATTACAGAACATTGAAAATAATAAGAAGATCCTAAAAATTTCCTCAGATGAAAAAAATAAAAAGTGTGAGAGGGGGTCACATTCACTTGGAGTCACATCTGACTACTCAGTAGTAACATCAATAGCTAGAGGACAATAGAGCATTGTATTCCAACTTCTGAAGGAAAACACGCCCAACTTAGAATTCTATACCTAACAAACTATCAGTCAAATGAAAGAGCAAAATAAACACATTTTAATACACATAAACCTTAACATGTACTTCGTATGTACCCTTTCTTAGAAAGCACTGGAGGAATGCTCCAGCAAAATTAAAGAATTATCTTAGAAAGGAAAAGACATGTGATTCAGGAAACTAGGAATTCAACATAAAAGAGAGGAAATTCCAAGGGGATCCCAAGAAGTTCCAGTATCACAGTTGTGCAGCAGGACTAGAGATCAACCCGTCCAAACTGGGGCAGGAACACAGAAGGCACCAGGAAGGGATATCTCCAGGAACAAAAGAGATGGTGAAACTGATCAATAATCTGAAAAGTATGTAAAATTAGACAAAAAGATGGTTTTTAAAGTCTTAGAACACTTATCCACAGATATGAAGAAAGCCAAGCAGATGAGGGGGAAAAAAGGCAAGTAATTCCAGTTAACAAAATAGTGATAAAAGAAATGTAAGTACACTATTTGCCTTAATGACAAGAATATATAGAAAGTGAAATGATAGAAAAATATATTCCTTG